TAATAATTATTTTACAGTGGATAGCATTGCTGAGGCAATACTCAAAATGTGAAGGTTGATGCTGAGCACCTTAGGTCTGCCAAAAAGTCTGCAATGAACCTGGCTGGAAATAAGGCTGCTTTTAAACTAGCATCCAAACTAACAAGACAGTTGTTTACTGTTCAGGAGCTGGCATACTCAAGAGGACAAGGACTCGGGTAAAAAAAAGGAGACCAGCAGTTTTGCCCAGCATTGGATGAAATACGCTTACAGATACTTATTTCAATTTTTTTTACACTTGCATATAAGAATGTATCAAACCTCAAACTTTTACCTACAATTAACAAGGCTATTATCAATATCAAATATTCTTCCTCAAAGACAAATATTCGACACACGGTATGGGGGTCAAGACCCCCTCCCACACTCACTCCCGTGTTATTAAAAAATGTAGCGCTTAAAAAAATTCCTGGGGAATTCCCTGGAAGTGGTAAGACCTTCACTATGTGTGGTTAAGGAGATTTGATGGACTCAGATGGTATGGGTATAATACCCAGGATTATTCAAGACATCTTTAATAATATCAGTGAAAATAAATTCGAAGTAGCAGTTTCATATTTGGAGGTAAATTATCACTGTTAAATTGTAACATCTTATATTGTGTTCTTCTAAAAGAAATGACCAGCATATAAGCAGCTAAAATTTTCCAAACATTCATATCTAAGTATAGTCTGTGCTTTCTTTGTGATTTTTAAAATATTATTTTTCAATCTTTGTATTTTCCATTTTTGGATTTGTACTTGGATTATTGGATTATTTCTCTGTTTTGGGAAGTATTATTTGCTATTATATAGCAGTTTTTGTACATTTATACTTGTATATTTTATTGCATTCGCATCTTGCGTGTAATATTGTTTAATATATCGGATAATATCACTGATATTATTTAATTGCTATCATATAGCAGATTGTATATAAATTTAAACATAATCAATTTCATTTTAGTGTTAATTATTTTTGTATAAATAATTGTCGGCTTTTAAATTGATAGTTTAAAGTGATAAATTTAATTAAGTGTTTATTGTTTCGGTAAATAATAGTGATTTGTTACTTTAAATTGTAAATAATTTTTATACTTTGCTGTTTTTGTTTGTGTTTTTTATTTCAGTCGCCATGGCTACATATGTAAGAGCTGGCTGCGAGTGTTATATTTGCAGGGAAGAAAAACAGAGGACGGGAGACTCGGCAATGCAGACCGAGTTCAAGAAGCTCACACAGCACCTTCGGACCAAGCACGGAATGACCCATATACAAGCAAGGGCAGCCGCGAGTGCGCAGAAGATGCCTGCCACTAAGAAGTCTAAAGATGGCAAGAATTACTATATGTGCAAAGAGTGCAAGGTTTTGGTGGCAAAGAAAGGACCGGACTTAACGAGCAAGGACCACGGAATGCAGCAAAACACAGGACCAAACCAGACTGCCATGAGGGAAATGTTTTTGCCCGCACGCACAGCCATGCCACCTTATGGCACTCGAGAGGTAGGTATCGTCGGGGATGCCGTACCTTATCAACATGATGTCCCCGACATTAATTTTTCAGATTCCGAGGAAGACATGGACGTGACAGAAGCCAGCAGGATGCAAGCCAGAAGCCCAGCACCAGACGCCGTGAGGATCATACCAGCGCACCAGAAGCCACCCGAATCGAAACGATGACTCCTACAACAGACTAGGAACTACCATGTATGACGCCTGATGACTGTGTGTACCGGAAACATGCCTGACTTGTGCCAGCCGTTCTTTTCGGGTATTTACAGTCATTCAGGCCTGGTGCGACTTCCAGTGTGACTATGCGGGAGGGGGGGAGCAAGAAGCCCAGGAACCAAAATGAGGATGGTGGGTATGTAGATTTTTAGCATCTTTATCTTTCAGGGATGGAGAATTTTCGAGAATAACCCCGGCCGCTGTTTGAGTCCATGACTCGGTATTGAGGTCGTACCTGGATATAGGCACTATTATCCGGGTACTGACTAAGATATCCGACTTCCTGGGATGGTGTAAGTCCCAACAGTTCATCCACAGGAGGCAGTACGACGGAATCATGATTATCCTCAATGGATGCCTCCAGTCGGCCAGAAAGACGGGACAGCAGAAGACGGTGGAGAGGCTGGAGGAGGAAGCCCAGAACCTGCCAGCACCGACGACAACGACCCTGAGGCAAAGTTTTCGGCGGAACCCCATTCATTTTCTGTATGAAATGGGGTGCCAACTTATGGTTTTATTAACGGTAAAGAATGCATGCAGAGTTTCCGTTTTAAGAAATCTACGCCTCATTGATGTGGACCGGGCAGAGAGGCACGACGAGAATGGAAAGACAAGGTACACCATATCCGTGTCGAGGCACAAAACCTCTTCAGGTAAGGTAACTTTTTTGGTTTAAGATGAATTTTTATTTGCAGATTTAGCCATATACAGACGGAAGGTTTCAACCCTGGTAAAATCAACGCTGTTCAGGGATAAACATTACATGCCTATTACATCAGAGTCTGTGGGTCGGATGTGCCGAAACACCTGGAAGGCTGCCAAAATGCCAGGTAACTTTTCAGCTACTATTTTCAGGAAAGCCACCACAGTTTACAGCAGGCAAGCAAACCCGAACTCTGCAGAAGTCGTCAGCAAGAAGCTTTGCCACCGGAAGAGCACTGCTGACACGTATTATGCTGTGCACCAGGACAGAATTTCCGCCCTAGAAGCCGATGATGCACAAGAACAAGGATGGACACAGATGTCGGCAGTATACCTGGCAAGAAAGGCCAGCTCGGCTACTGTGAGCCAAGCTCCAGAGGAGGTAAGTTTTACAGGGTCAGAACCAGTACCAGCACCACAGTCAACACCAGCACCAATACCAGAACCAGGACCAGAATCCAGCACCACAGTCAGCACCAGTTAGTGGACCAGGGCAGGTAAATTTGATTTCTTTTTCAGAAACTTTATCGGAGGTCAGTCATGGCTGCATGAAGGTTCGAGTGAGGCTCGAACCATTGGGACCAGAGTGGAGGGAGCTGCAAGAGACCACAGAGACCACCCTGGGATTGATAGTTGGCCCTTTCAATGAAGAGGACGATATCTCCAGCCAGAGGACTTTTGAGTACCAGGATCACAGGGAATCAGGTAATGGTTCTATTGTTACTGCCACCAACAGCGGAATTGTTCCGCTGTCGGTTACCGGCAGCGATGCTTATTCTTCACTTGCAAGGAGTCTAATTTCAGTACAAAAGAGAAAAGAGTGCTTTCCAGTGCCACCCGGATTAAGGACACCTTCCTAGAGGTGATCATTCATTATGTGGAGGAGCCCACCAAGGTCGTGCCGATACATATTATCAAAGAGATGAGGAAGGATATGTGGCGGCAATATACCAATAAACAACTGGTAGATATCATCCGAAACATAGTAAAGAAAATGAAGACTTTTAGGTAAACATTTCATTATTTAAATAATAACATAAATAGCACTTTAAAACAATAAATATGATGAGCCGTGGACTGGGCAACGGGTGAAGTCAATTAATATTACATGTTTTACATAATGCTGATCATTTATCAACATTATTTATCACACGTTTAATACTTTCTTTCAGCTGGCAAACAACCCCAATAAATATTATATTTTCAAGTGAAAAATAAAATATAAGTTCGAACCTTGACCACTCACCTTGTACGACTTGCCTAGGCCCCTATGAATTACATATATATCTATAAATATCAGTATAATGGGCATGTAGTTTAATATTGAAAGAGTTTGTCCATTTGACCCCAGATGCCAGGTTTTTCCCATTTAATGCTAGTTAGTCCCCTACCGGTTTACCGGAGGGGACTTTAGGTTTACCCTCCGTCCGTCTGTCTGTCCGTCAGTCAGTCTGTCCGTCCTCAAAACTGGATCCCGCGATAATGCAAAAAGTACTGAAAAAAATTTTATGAAGCTTAATATATGGATAGATGGCAGTATGGAGATTATGCACGTCTTTTTCTTTCTTCCTATGTTGAAAATTCTGGTTGCTATGGCAACAAATAGACTGAAAATATGGCAAATTTTACACATAACCTGGATCCAGTGATAGCGCAAAAAGTACTGAAAATATTTTTATGAAACTTGACATATGGGTAGATGGCAGTATGGAAATTATGCACATCCTTTTCTTATCTTCCTATGTTGAAAGTTCTGGTTGCTATGGCAACAAATAGACTGAATTTCAAGATTTCTGATTCTAGTTTTTAAGTTTTTTAACTATAAGTACTTTATTTCTTAAGGTATTTTCTTCGAACTTTAAATATAAGTTGCTTGTCATCAACCTCATCATATGTGACAAAGTTTACAACTCTAGCACAAAATTTATCAGAATAACCTCCCTTGAACATAAAATTTTCATGAAAAAAACATTGTTTTTTTTTTTAATAACTTCTTTTTCTGAATGTATCTACTTCAAACTTCATATAAATGTTTCTTATTATCACTCAACATTTGTGAATATTCAATACTCTAGCAAGATTATATCCAGAATATATCCAGAATAATGCCCCTTTTGAACTTTTTTTTGAGAAATTGGTAATTTTTACTCCAACTTCTTTAATCATGATAGGATTTTAAAAATATTATATTTTGATAACAGGGATGTTTAAAAAATAACTTTAGAGTGTCCTTCAGTCTGTCTGTACATAAAAACTGTTTCCTCTGATCACTTTTAGAGTACTTTTTCAACAAAGATAGGAACATAAGTGAATGGCCAATGGCCCTTCAGAATGTTGCTTGGGCTCTTACTGGTAGGGGACTTATGGATTGCTTGCAATACTATGATAATTGCTTGTATTTAAAAGTTTACTTCAGGAAAATGTTTTACAATAGATAAGATATGTTGCCAGTTTTGTTTTTACACTCTATGTTTTATTGCATTTATATCATGTTTGATGTATATGTTTATTTATTTCTCTTCATCAACAGGTAAAGAAAGGAAATATAATTGTTTCCTTTGTGAAAAAACATATGTTTATTCTGGTTGGCTGAGGCGACATCTAAGACTTAAACATGGCTCAGAGGTGGGTAATCTATTATTTATAACAAACATGTACTCTACTGTTTTATAAAGCTTTTTTGTTTTCATTGAGTTTTGGTGTATACATTCAGCAAACTTATGAATGATACAAAAACTACTACCAGGTTTAGTTTTTTTGTTATTGCTCGGGCCATATTCTTGAAATTACTTGAAAAGGAGATAGTTGGTGTAAGAGGTAAAGAAATGCTTGTTTTCATAATTATGCCCCTTTTTCGACTTAGAAATTCTTGGTTAAGTTTTTGTATGTAAGCTGGTATCTCCATAACTACTGAAGGGAATGGATTGAAACTTCACACACTTGTTGTCATTTACTTTACGCCACTTTATGCTACTTTACGCATTTTAGGCACACCAAAGTTTTTGTGCTTTTTAAACTACTTCGGGTTAATTTTGGAAATTAATGAAAATAATCCAAAAATCTATTCCTTTATTTATACATCTGGAATTGTTTTTAAAAAATCCGAATGTTATTTAAAAAAAGATCACCTACCTTCGATAAGTCTGTTGTCTACACAGGGATTAATCACTTTAATTGCCATGGTTACAGAATCCACAAGTACAATGTCTGTAACCCTCATGTGCTTTCCTTCTTGCTCTCCAAAACCCCCAACACATACTGCCTGACCGGTTCCCAACTGAGCTGTAGCATGACCAAACCTCCTGATAACTCGGGTACCAGTCACCCTTGAAACCTTTACCATACCATCATATTCCTTCACAGCTTTCAAGCTTTTATCTACAATTAAATAGTGAATAGTTCCTAAAATATTCTGCATGAACTTCTTGAAAATTTATTCTGAAATGATGCATGTCCCACTGTCAGTCTGTTTATGCACACCAAGATATGCCTCAGCCAACATGACCTAGAGTATTTGTTTTTACAAATAACAACCTCCTGTCATCACCCCTGGCAATGGCCAGTGATAACCACATGTATGACATTGTAATGAAAGGGGCAGGAAATTTCTCAGGAAATAACAGCTGATAAGACCCCTAGATTAACACTCCCTGCTGATTAACAGGTGTCTGTTCTGACTAAGATACTGTCTGATAACACTGATAACTTCATTACATTCCACTAGTGTACTTTTATTTTCATTTTATTTTTTTTCTATCATTTAGTTATTATTTATAACTATTACATTTAACATATATAAATTATACAAATTAACAAATGAGATGTTTCAAAATTAAATTCTCTAATAATAATCCTTAGAGCATCCTTTCATTCATTTCATTAATTTTTTATTGATTGATTGATAGAATTAATTAATTCATTAACTTTCATTAACAAATTAATTAATTAATTTATTTATTTGGGGGAGGGTCAAGTACATCATATAGCCACTTTCCACATTTACCTTTACAGTCATTCAAAAATAATTATCTGAAATTGTGACTTTTCTACTTAGTTTTACACCCAAGCTGATTAGAACTTTTAAAACATACAAATCTGAAACATACATGTAGATATCTCTGGTTTATAAGCTTGCTCTTTTCATTAAAGATACTTATAAACATTAACATAAACTAGTTTAATCATTATTGACACTGAAAATATTGTTTTGAAAGTAAAGATTATGAGAGAAGAAACGTTTTGATATCAAATATGATTTACATAATATATTTTCTCTCAAAATAATGATTATGATGTATACCAATCCCATTTTAATAATAGAGTAGCACCAATATTCCAAGTTGTTTTGTCTGTCTATGGATGAACACTGTGACAGCAGATGTGACAATTGCCAATCTAATTAGGGGGGATAAGAATTATACATATGTCATTAAAAAGATTGAGTTAATTCTGCAGGTGGGAAATCAAAATTTTGTTGTAAATTTGCAGTAAACTTGGGATTATGGGCTGAAACATAATTATAATGAGCGTACAGCTTTGAAATAATTTGAATTACTTATCATAAAAATATTTATTTATTAGGAAATATTTAGAATTGGTGATATAATGACCATTATATAATATTTTATGTCCATGCTGATGTTGTATCATAATGTGCAGCCCACAATTGTCATAAGTTACTTTTTTTATAGATACATGAATAACTAAAATTGCTTTACATTTTATGATCATAATCTGAGGTAAAAATTCAGTTTGACCTGTTGCTTCAGATATTGTGTGATAATTGGTCACATGGGTGTACTGCATTTATCTTTCATGGTCATCTGTCAATTTTACTCTCATACTTTGATCTGAATCACTTATAGTGAGCAGATTTTTATTGCTTAGCAATTTAGAATCAAGGTCAATTTATCATAGAACAAAGTATAAACATGTGGTAAACATGTGGTACTGTGATACCTTGCAAAATCTAAAGGGCAAAAAGCTGTTTCTTGTCAAACCCAAGATCATGTTTCACAGAGAATATAATTCACATTAATTTAACACCAACTGTGAAAACATTGATACCAGCAGAATACATCTGAAATGTAAAGTTTATGATGATTTTGTAGAAGTTAGGGATATAGGAGAGATTTATAGGTAGTCAATTTTCTAAAAATAAATTCCCTGATAAGCACTGACCACAGCAACTGTTACTGGTTTGTACTAGGAAGACGGACAAAACCCCACCAGTTAAAACCCCACCACTCAAAATTTTATAGAGTGGACAAAACCCCACCACTAAATTTTATAGAGTGGACAAAACCCCACCTCTAAATTTTACAGAGTGGACAAAACCCCACCACTTACCAATTATTGGGCAAGATTTGATGAATTAAAATATATATAATATACAGTACACATCTTCACATTTCATTTTTTAATTTCAATTTTAAGAGATTATAGAAATAATTTACAAACTGTTAAATCAACATCAAAGAGCAGTCATTTATTTGAGACTGTGCCACATTTATGACCTTGAATTATCCATTATTTTTAGTTTCTTCAAATTCATTTCTTCAATTTATTTATATAGAAGATAAACTACTTACTATTAATCAAGAATGAAGCACATTTTCATCAATTAATGATTAAAAAATGGGTCAAAGACAGAAAAGGCCGGGTTGCATTTGTACACCAAATATCATGAGGCTGTGATGTTACGAAAAAAAATTTCAATTGACCCATTAATGTCGAAAATTTAATTCAGTAGGGTACACAGGAAGTGGATGAGCTACACACCTAAAATCGAATCCCACAGTATGGGACCATGTGTCAATGCTGTATGCCAAATATCAAGAGGCTGTGATTAGTAGTTTCTGAGAAAAATGTTACGAAAATTTCCTACCAGTGACCATAAATGTGAACAGGAAGTGGATGAGCTGCAGACTTGAAATCCAATCCCACAGTATGGGACCATGTGTCAATGCTGTATGCCAAATATCAAGAGGCTGTGATAAGTAGTTGCTGAGAAAACTGTCACGAAAATTTCCTACCATTGACCATTAATGTCGAAAAATCTAACTAATTTAACTAAGTGGATAAACAGGAAGTGGATGAGGGACAGACCTGAAATCAAATCCCACGGTATGGGACCATGTGTCAATGCTGTATGCTTAATATCAAGAGGCTGTGATAAGTAGTTGCTGAGAAAACTGTTACGAAAATTTCCTACCATTGACCATTAATGTCGAAAAATCTAACTAATTTAACTAAGTGGATTAACAGGAAGTGGATGAGCGACAGACCTGAAATCCAATCCGACGGTATGGGACCATGTGTCAATGCTGTATGCCAAATATCAAGAGGCTGTGATAAGCAGTTGCTGAGAAAACTGTTACGAAAATTTCCTGCTATTGACCATTTATGTTGAAAATTTAACTAGGTCAGCAAACAGGAAGTGGATGAGCGACAGACCTGAAATCGAATCCCACAGTATGGGACCATGTGTTGATGCTGTATACCAAATATCAAAAGGCTGTGACACGTAGTTGCTGAGAAAACTGTTACGAAAATTTCCTACTATTGACCATTAATGCTGAAAATTTAAGTAGGTCAGCAAACAGGAAGTAGATGAGCGACAGACCTGAAATCGAATCCCACAGTATGGAACCATGAATTGATGCTGTATACCAAATATCAAAAGGCTGTGATAAGTAGTTGCTGAGAAAACTGTTACGAAAGTTTTTTCCCCGCCCGCCCGCCGCCCGCCCGCCCGCCCGCCGCCCAACATTCACCATACTATAACCCGGGTTTGCACCAGTGCAACCCGGCCAAAAATAGCACATTTTTATAGCACATTTTTTAATTTATTCAGTTCAGTCAATTTTCCTTCATTGTACTTAGTTTAAGTGGATACTGTGGCTGATAGCCTATAGAAACTCGGGTACGGTCTTCTCCTTATTGATGACTTGTTCACACATTCTTTCGAGTTTTGCTAATGCACAATTGTTAGTTTTTTTAAACATGTTTACAAGAAAGTTTTGTCCACTCTATAAAACTGAAGTGGTGGGGTTTGTGTCCACTGTGTAAAATTAAGTGGTGGGGTTTTGTCCACTCTATAAAATTTAGTGGTGGGGTTTTGTCCACTCTATAAAATTTTGAGTGGTGGGGTTTTAACTGGTGGGGTTTTGTCCTACATTCTTTGTACTACCATAGTTTGTACTACCCACTGATACACTATAGATTTGTACATGCTTGAGTATGGATTTACCAAGTACATCTTCAAAAATAAGCTCTGGGACAACAAAACATTGTTGTTACGGTCTATGTAATAGTGACTCAAGGTACAATGACAGAGATTATATGCAAGATGTTTTTTTCATACCATTTCCAAAACCAAAATCAAATGAATTAAAGTGTAATAAGTGGATAAGTGCATGTGGTCGAAAAGACTTTACTGTCAACCACATTAAAAAGTGGACTTACATATGCAGCAAACATTTTGTTGGAGGTAAAGGACCTACAGACAATCATCCAGATCCTCTTCCTGCCACATATACACCACTTCAGGTATGAAAATTATGATAATAATTATTTGTTGTATATAAACTTGGGAACTGACCATATAAATTATAAATAAATGGTCATGTTGTAGTAAATATCTTATTATGATAAGTCAGTTTTTTTTTACAATTTTATTCTGTGTTTTTATATGAACTTTTAAAACCACATATTTATTACAGGTAGAAAAGTTTTCACGTAAAAGAAAGGCACCAACTCCAAGGGCAGCACCTGTATCCAAGAAAACTTTGTTTGAGGTTTCAGAGGCTCTTCTTCAGTTACAGGATACAAAATACAACTTTGTGCAGAATGCAAACTCAGATGGGGAATAACAAAAAGATCAAATTAAACAGGTAAATGCCTTAATTGCTAAATTAATTTCAAAATATTTGTCCGAATTTATTGTATTTATTCTTTGATAAAGTTGATATTGGGTCAATAGGTGTGTTTCTAATTAATTTGTTGCTGCAGATAAGAATCTCATTTTAATGCCTCCATAACATTTACTGGGTTGCGGGTATGTTATATAATTTTTCATTGCCAGATATTGTGACAACAGGGAACGTGCTTGAGGACCAAGATTGGATTAGAGCTACGTCATTGATTCAGTGCGAAGCATTAATGATGATACATCGATATCGGCTGACAAATATTGGCAATACACCGATATATCGATAAATATTCTTATTTTCTTATATATAATACTTTTCCATACCTGTATAAATAACCTGTAAAATAAATATGTTGTGAACCTTTGCATGATTTTTTTCTGATTACATTTTGTCATAACTGCTATGAAATGTGTCCATTATGTAACAACAGCTTATTGTAAAACATGGCCATCTGCTTTTGTGTATGTTTTTTAGTGAAATTTCATTATTTATAGACATTTAAACAATAAATAAAAATAATCGATTTTTTCAACTGTGTATCAACGATACATCAATATTGTCTCTATTGATGACACCCTCAAACGTTTTTTTAAAAGTTTGAATATACTTTTGCCAAAACCAAAATTTCAAAAAAAAAAAATATAAAAAAATGAATTGAAAAAAAAAAAAAAAAAAAAAAGAAAAAACCCCCAAATTTCAAATTTTTTTCAAAATTTGAAAAAAAATTTTTTTTTTTGGGATTTAAAAAAAAAACCAAAAAAAAAAATATAAAAAGGGAAAAACAAAAAGGGCCAAAATTTCATATGATAAAAAAAAAACTTTTTAAAACAAATTTTCCCCATTAAGCCCATGAGTTAAAATTTTAAACCAGTGTAAAACCAGTAAAAAATAAAATCGACCTGAAATAATAAAATTGGGGCCCCAATTAAGGGAAAAAAAACCACAATCAACTTTTTAAATTTTAAAAACGTTATGGTTCCCAAAACAAAAAGGCCTGTGAATAAGTAGTTCCAAAAAAATTTAAAAAATTTTTTTTCCCAGACCAAATAATAAAAGTTTTTCCCCATTTAAAAGGAAGTGAATACCGCAATAAATCATAAAAATTTGGGAATTTGTGTTGATTGTATCCAAATTTAAAAAGGTTGTTAATATTGCCAAAAACTTTAAAAATTTTTTCATTGCCATTAATTTAAAAAAATTAAAACTAAGTGGCAAAACAGGAATATGAACCCTAAATCAAAACCCCGAACGGATTTGAATGTGTTGATGTTTTAAAATTTTTCAAAAGGTTTTGGGATAATTTTCTAGAAAAACTTTAAAAATTTTTTACATTAACAAAAAATGTTAAAATTTTAAAAAGTGAAAACGGGAAGTGATGGCCAACAATTCAAAACCCCCCACTTGGGACCATATGTTAATTTATGCCAAAATTTAAAGTAACCAGTTTTTAAAAATTTCTGAGAACTTCTTAATATTTTTCAGTCATTGTTTTTCTTTCTTGTTTGTATGTACTATTAAGGAAATGGTCAGTATTTTGGTGTATTTACCAGAAACTTTGGTAGTTTTGTATGTATTTTGACTCTCTGAATGGCTTGTTAGAAAGTTGAAAATCTTAATCATGCAAGCATTGACTGTTAGCGGTAAAAAATAAGAATTTTTGAATAAATTTTGTGAAAAATCTAAACGTATGACAGACAATTAATTGGGCATTTTTGAAATTGCCATTGATTGCACTGCATATATTTCTAAATGAATCTGGTGAATTCTGGAGTATCCTCATCATTAAAATGAAGTTTTTTTTTCCAAATTTTTTTTTTTTGGTTTTTTTTTTTAGTTTTCCCCCGGTTTGGGATTTTTTTGGGGGGGGTGGGGGTTTTAAATATAAATTGCCTTCAGTCTTTAGTTTTAAGACAATACATGCAAACTTTAGATTATTTCAATGTATGTCATATATCCTTGAATAATGTTGTGCAACTGTATGGAGTAGATAGATAGTTCAGTCAGGGGAGGTAATAAATATGATTGTGGACTTGTGACAAAAAATGTTCTTCACAAGCTGCATATTCATCCAGATTAAACAGTTTTGAATAGTGCAAACTGACATAATAATACAAATTGAGCACATTCAATGTTATCAAGTGTATATAATGTCATATAAGTCAACAGTGGTATCTTTATTGCACTTTCAGGAGTATCCCCAAATAAATCAGGTCTGATTAGCAGTAAAATTCATTTTGGAACAAGAAATTAAGCTGCATTTTTGTGTTTCTTGCTATGACCTCTTGGTAAAAGACTTCAAATACTCTTGGGTATTTATATTAAGGTGAAATGCAAACAGCTTTTATAATTAAAGTTGCATGGAAAAGGTCAAACACTGATTTGTCCAATCTGGAAATATCTTGGATGGTCATGTGGTATAATTTACAAGCAGCCATTGGATGTAAATAACTGATATAGAACTAAAAAGTGTCCATAGGACACAAGTCCCCCACCCACGTTTTGTCAATCTACTGATCTGGTAGATATTGTTTTGGTTTTTTTTGTTTTAACTGACCAAAAAGTAAGGCATTGCGTTCCAAGTTTTTCTGGTTTTTTAAAAATCAGTTTTTATTATTTTTTTTGACAAAAAATAAATCCTTTTTTATCGTTAGGGGGGGAGGGGTGGAAATTTTTTTGGGTTTGGGGGGAACCAAAGTCCCCCTGTGGGGATTGGAACACGGGGTGAATTAATTTGGTCAAGGAATTTTTTTAAAAAAAGATTTAAACAAGCCTTTTATGTACCCATGGAATTGGGGGGTTAGGGTGTTTTTTTAAAATTTGGGATTTTGCAGTGATTAAATGAATTTAAAAAATCGTCTTGGGTGGGATTTAAAAAATTTTAACACCAAAAAACAGTTTTCAAAGATTTTTGAATTTCTTTTTCAAATTTTTTATTTTGTAAATTTAATTGGGGGAAAATTTTTCTTGGATTGGAAAAAATAAAATTTTATTTTTAATTTTAAAAGACCAAACATTGGTCATAAAATAAAAAAAAATTCCCTTTGGGGCTACACATGACAAAGTTGAAAACTGAAAATCTTTTAAATTCAAGGGCAAAAATAAAAATGGTCCAAAGGAACAGGTGACCCCCAATTTTTTAAACTTTTACTCTGGGGCAAATATTTTTTTAAAAAAAAAATCTTTTTTTAAGTAAAGGGGAAAAATTTAAAAAACTAATAAATCCCCAAAAAAACCCCAAAAAGGTCATAAGTCCCCCCACTCCACATTTTGTAAAACTTTTTGGCCCCCAATAAATATTTTTGGCATGTGCAAGTTGAAAAATTAAAATTTACTTTGTAAAAGGGCAATAAAAATCTAATAAAAAAAAAATACTGCAAAAAGTCCCCCCGGGCAACTTTTCAATGATGTGAAAAATTTCCAAAGGGATTTTTGTTTTTTTTTCCGAAAAAATTTTTTTCTAACTCAAAGCATCCTGGGAAAAAAAACCATTTTAAAAGTTTTTACAAAAATCAAGGGAAAAAATTTTAAAAACTGGATAAATTTCCCCAATGAAAAACCCCTCAAAACTTTAATTGGGCAAACCCTGAAAATTTAAGAAAATTCAAAACCTTTTAGAATGCGACAATTAAAATTGAAAAAAAATTTTTTTCAAGGGCAAAAATTTTAAATTTAAAACCAAAAATCCCTTCCAAATACATCTAAAACAAAATTTGTGTTTCATGTCATGGGAAATTTTAGAAAATCGACACAAATTGAAAATTGCAAAATTTTCTATAAGGAAAAATTAAAAAAAACAAAAAATAACGAAATTTCCCCAGCAAATCCTCTATAACATTCCTTTTAAATTTCATGATTAGGCAAATCTTTTTGGTTTAGTGCCACAAAAAAACAATGGAGGAAAAAAAACAAAGGCCAAAATTCTGGTAAATGGGGGCACAAAAATCTTTCCTTAAACCCCTTAAAACTAAGTGTACCAAATTATTTAAAAAATTCAGGTAAAAAGGGTCCCAAAATTTTTTATATGTTAAAATGAAAAAATTTAACAAAAGGCAACTGAAATGTTCCAAAGGAAAATCCCCCCCTTTAAATAAATCTTTTTCTTAAGGTTTTTTTTTTCATTCCCAATTAAAACAAAAAAACTTTTATTTAGAAAGGGTTCACAAAATTTCCACAAGAAAAAAGGGGAAAAAACAAGGGCCCAAATTCGTAAATTTCGGGGAAAGGAAAATCTTTTTATTAGGCAACACAATTAAGGTTTTTTTACTAAGTTTAAGGGGAAAATCTCAAAAAACCCGTAAGGGAAAAAAAATGCACAAATTTTGGAGTAAAGGCAAATACGAACAAAGAAAAAAAGGAAAAAGACGACGCAAGGGGGAAAACCTAAAAATGCCAAAAAAAAAACCCCCAAAAACCAAGGTGAAAAACATGCTACCCCAAATTTTTAAATTTCGCTCAAAATCCCTTTTTTAGTACTGCACCAAGTTGAAAAATTTTGGGGGAATTTTTTTAATTCAAGGGAAATCAAAAATACTAAAATATTCACAAAAAAACCCCGGCACACATAACTCTATCAACCCTGAAAAAAATCCACATGTAAAACCCCAGGTGCCCAGCTTCACAGTGATGTTGATCATCATTCCTGTAAATTTGGTTGATTCTAACTCGAGCACTCAAGGTCCACATAACACAACATTTTGGAAGGTTTTTACTAAGTCAAGGGCAAATACTGAATAAATCCATAATCAAACCCCAATGTGCACAACTTCATATGCAGATCACAATTTCTGAAAAGATTCATGACTCTAGTCAAATTTCTTTGAGCTACACATGGCACAAATTGAAAATTGCCAATTTTTACTAATTCAAGGGCAATGGCTCTAGAAATATTTAATAAATCCACAAGCATAACCTTTGGTACAAACTACATATGCTGACCTACATTCCTTAAGTTTCATGACTCTAGGTCAAATACTTTTTGTGCTACGTGCGAAACTACATTCCCAAACATGGGAATTTTTAAAAATTTAAAAAAAAAAAAATTTTTTTCACTGATTTACAAGTAGATATCAATGCAGGACAAGTACAAAATGTTGTTTCATAATCAGTTTGTTTACTTTAAGTTTAACGATTGAAAATCAGATTGAACAAAGCTTGTGTTTTTGGTTATGTATAAAAATTTTCACTTTAGCATTGTTTATTTGGGTACCGTGGACTAGAAGGCAAAAACAAAGCTCAAAATGGAGATTTATACATAACCCAAAAAAAAAGCTTTTTCTTTTGTTAAAAAATTTGTGTTTTGAAAATTTTATGGTAAATTTATCGGGATGGTTCATTGCATCATGAAAATTTATTTTAAAAACAAAGCCCAAAAATGCAGGGCGAGTACCCAAAAGCAAGACAATGGAAAATTTGAAGCTACCGCCTGCGGTGAGTGGCCTGAAATTTTTTTTGATCCCTGCGTGAATTCCATTTTTGCTAAAGAAGCTAAATATTGTATAAACTATGTATGCAGTATACCTGTCAGTTTCATCATTCCAGATAACAACTGATTGCAGTTGCCGTTGTAACCTAGCAACACCATATAGTGTGCACATTTTAGATGCCATTCCTCGTACTCGTCAAACATCTCTAACTTCTCCACCCTGTCTCGCTCCATGTCATCAAGCATCATGTTATAAAACTCATTCATGTCTAATACTTCTAGATTTCTCCAACCCTGAAAAAAAAAATCACCAACATTAAAAAGCTAGCCTTTGACCTAGTTTTTTTCATAGAGAATGCCTAATTTTTTAATTTTTCTGACCTTCTATTTCCCATAATTAACTTTCTTCCAGTGTATATTGAGCCATTCATTTTTATGAAAAGAAGAATAACAACTTATTAAGTTTAACACTTAAAATAGCTTAAGTCAGATGCTCCATTTCCCAAACTGAGCTGTATAAACTTTGTATTTTTTCTCTTTAGCATCTAATTACTATCTATATCTTTACTATAAAGTGTGCAACACAAAATATATATGGCAAAAATTCTAAATAAATTGAAAAAATCTTAACAAAACATTATGAAGATATATAATGCTCAAATGTGATATTTGAATATTTTTTTTACTGCTATTAAGTCTCTTATTAAATGTAAAAATAAACATCACTTGTGTACGCTCAGAATATATGTTATGTTAAAAACTCTAAACACTTAGTTAAGCTTATTTAAGAATAAATACATAGTCATTGAAACAAGAGGGCCATGATGGCCCTGAAGTCGCTCACCTATATATAGGCCCAAGGAGGTGGCCAGTTTAAACCCTAGGGCTTTTATTTGAACAAACTTGGTAGACACCCATTAGAAGATATTTCATGCTTAACATCTAAGGTCTAGCTGGTCAAGTTTTTTTCTTTACACATATAGTTAAAAACAATGACACACCTGGGGCAGGGCCAGTTTTGACCAAGGGCTTTTATTTGAACAATCTTTGTAGACACTTACAAGAAAATGTTTCATGCTTAATATCTAAACTCTAGCTATTCGGGTTTTTTCAAAGAAGACTTAAGTTTTTGCTACACACATATAAAGAAAATCAATGTCAGCCGGGGCGGGGCCAATTTTGAACCCAGGGCTTTAATTTGAACAAACTTGGTAGACACTCACTAGAAGATGTTTCATGCTTAGTATCTAAACTCTAGCTATTTGGTTTTTTTCAAAGAAGTTTTTTTAAGTTTTTGCTATACACATATAAGGAAAATCAATGACCCCCGGGGGCGGGGCCAATTTTGACCCTACGGCTCTTATTTGAACAAACATGGTAAACATCCATTAGAACATGTTTCATGCTAAAAATCTTAGCTGTAGCTCTTTGGGTTCTTTAAAAGATTTTTTTTTTAAGTTTTCACTATATGCATATAGGGAAAATAAATGACCCCCTGGGGTGGGGCCAATTTTGACCTCAGGGCTTTTATTGGAACAAAGTTGGTAGACATCCATTAGAACATGTTTCATGCCAAATATCTAAGCTCTTGCTCTTTGGGTTTTTTAGAAGAAGATTTTTTAAGTTTTTACTATATGCATATAGGGAAAATCAATGACACCCTGGGGCGGGGCCAATTTTGACCCAAGGGCTTTTATTTGAACAAACTTGGTAGACACCCATTAGAAGATGTTTCGTGCTAAATATCTTAGCTCTAGCTCTTTGAGTTTTTTAAAAGAAGATTTTGTAAGTTTTTACTATATGCATATAGGGAAAATCAATGACCCCCTGGGGCAGGGCCAATTTTGACCCCAGGGCTTTTATTTGAACAAACTTGATAGACACTCACTGAAGATGTTTCATGCCAAATATCTAAGCTCTACCTCTTTGGGTTTCTTAAAAGAAGATATTTTAAGTTTCTTCTATTGGTTGCCATGGCAACCAGAGTTCTTCATGGAATTAAATTCTTTGAACAATTTTTTAAAGGTGACCACCAAAGTAAGATTCCTGTGAAGTTTGGATGAAATTGGCTCAGCGGTTTATGAGGAGATGTCATTTAAAGTAAAAGTTTACGGACGACGGACGGATGCCGGACGAAAAGCGATCACAAAAGCTCACCCTGTCACTTTGTGACAGGTGAGCTAAAAAACCGCAAAACTCTTTTTTTTTTATAACAAACAAAATTAACAGATTTCCCCATAATTTGTGTACTCAGTTAAGTAAGAATTTCCTATATTTCATTAAACTTCTGCAATGAATGATTTTACGCAAAGATGAGCATAATTTATTTAAAAAAAACAAAAACATGTCAAAACGAATTTATGACAATGCAAATTCCAAATTCAAACCACAAAAAGTTTCTGCAAAAAAAACGTTTCAGCTTTCTGCTTAATCCTTTATGTTGGATTGTATTGTCATTTTTGTACAACTGATTTTTTATTGTTTTTATTTTACAATGCACCAACACAGAATAGGTCATATGGTGCAAAAACAGGAAAGATGACTTTGGCCAAACTTTCAAAGCAACACCAGGGGTCAAAAGCACAATACCTGCTGGAGCTAAGAGATGCATACACTCCTGTTATTGAAACACATTTAGTCGCCTCTTATAATCACGCAAAGATAAACAGTGGCTGCAATTCTTATCCCTCAACCATTAAGGGCAAGCCCTCAGCCACAAGGGGTTGTACATATGTTCGGAAAAATAAAATATATGTGTATTGTTTAAACCAAACTTCACACTGTTAGTAACTAGGTGATTGCTTTACACTTTGAACATATGATAAAATGATAAAAGAAATTTCTAACCATTTGAGTGAACCTGTCCTTCTGTGCTTGAATGGTGGGAAAGAAGTTGATACATTTCAGTGGAGACCCCACAGTTTGAAAATGATTCTGCCTGTGAAAAATATAGATAATGTCCATATATATATATATTGTATTATAAACAGTAATCTTAGACTACAACTGGTTTGAGTCCAGTAGAGTAGACTGTATTAGACCATCAAAACCCTGTGTTTGCTACCTCCTGCCCGATGTATTTTTATAAAATTTCATTGGTGTTCATCATTATGTCCTAACTGCTGTTTATAAAACTTGTGGAGAAGTTGTCATTTGCTTGCAGAACTGGTGAGTTCTGGTACAGAATCATCAATACAGAAATAATGATATCAATTTAATTCTGATAATAAATTTGTTAAGGAGGTTTGAAAACTTTGCCATTGTTAAATTGTCTTTGAATTTTATATGTATTGTACTTACATAAATAATCCAAATGCATCTGTGGGATTAATCTGTAAAAATACAAAGTATAAAAAAAAAATATAACCTCCGTTTTTATTTTATTCAACTTGTAAGTCACAATTACTTTGTTAACATAGGACTAGCTTTAATTGTGGAAAATATCTCCTGATCTGTCGTAATCAAGCTGGATTATAAACTCACTTTAATGAATCTCAATGTTCATTAAAGGTATTCTCACCTATGACTGTGGTTCAGTCAATAACTTTAAACCAATAGTCAATTAGATATTTAATGAAGTATTGATCTATACTAAATGTTTATATCAATGATGTAAAAATAAATAATATTAATTAATTCAATCAATTTCATTTATATTTTTGTAATCACAGGCATCTTTAATTAATTCAGCCAATGAATTTATATACAATACTTGATTTTGCACGCAACTGTGCATGAACTAGAGTCATGACATTCAAATAAATGTTTTGAAACTTATTTCATTTAATTGTAGTTGTGTTGTAAATAAAAAACACTGAGACGGTTGTGATATGAGGATACACAGCTTCACTAGTGAAGGAAGACAATGGGTGTCTCTTTGTGCTCTAAATAAGGCACAACCAGGCAGCTGAGTAGCACCACCAACATTTTGTATGCTTGAAGGATAGTTTCCTCACATGAAAGAATCCAAAGTCCCTGTCAGAGGGGCATTTATGATTTAAAATTATCATTATATACATGGTGTAAATCAAAATGCTAAAATTAAGATTAAGCCTACAGCAGCTGTGAGCACAAATCATGCATAATCACAATGGTATTACATGTATGACAGATCACTCACTTGTTCATATAAAACAAATACAGAATTGGCAAATGTTTCATTGGCCCATCTCACAACACCAGATGCACTGAAAAAACAACAACGTTCTTTTCTATATTAATATAAAATATTATATCTTTTCAACCATTGTCAACACTTAAAAAGATCAGGAATATACACATCAGGGCAAAGAAAACAATAAATATTTAACAGCAGTAGTTTACAAAAGTTTCCTGCCAACAGTCGGGTTTTCAATTAATATCACCTGAATATGCTTCAATATGCATAACAATTTACAGACCTTTGGCAAAGTTATGTTTGCATGGGCTTCAGTTAGTAGTTACTTCAAAACTGTTTTATGTTGTATGGTGATTTTCCAACTTTACTCGTGGAAAGAAGACACTCAGTTGTCCCTCAGTGTATTATTTCAGTCACAAGAAGGCACAAGAGTAGAATCCTGAACCACCTGTCTAAGCTAGCTGGATAGCTTCATTACATGAAAGGAGCCCCTACAAGTAGAATTCCAACCTAGAGTGGTAAGGAGCCTTTACTCGGAAATCTGTTGACCTTCACCGTTTTGTCATGAAAGGCCCAAATATATTCATCTTTTCAATTTAATTTTAAAATTTCACAATATAAATAGCTCAAAACAAACTTGGTTACCCAGATACTTACGTTCTGCGTGTCATGTATGTGAGAACACATTCTGAGAGGAGTAGGGTAGGAAGTTCAAAGTCAATATGGCACAGCTTCAGTGCTGCCTCCAGTGTGTTTATCTGTGATAGATCAGCTCCAAGCAACTTGTAGTCACAGGCTGACATCTCTGATATAAAATTAAATAAAAATAAATAAATTAATTGAAATTAAATGGAATAGCCAAACAAAAGTTTATCTTCAACAATACATCGACACAGTATTGGTCATATTGCGACGTTCCAGCTTTACTGGTAGAGGAAGACCTCAGGTGCCTTTCCGTGCATTATTTCAGGCAACGGGCACCCAAGTAGAACCACCCCTGTTCCTTAGGCTAGCTTCCTCACATGAAAGAATCCAAAGTCCCTGTCGGGATTCGAACCCACAGCAGTGAGGGGCAAGTGGTTTGAAGTCAACGACCTTAACCACTCAGCCACGGACGCCCAAACTGTGGGTTGAAGACTTTTAGGTGACTGTCCATGTATTAATTCAGACATATAATTGAATCCACATGATGTTTTTAAACTTTTATCATAGCAATTAGTGTAAAATTTTGATGAAAATTGTGTTATAACTTACCAATATAATCACATTTATCAGGTATGAGAGAGGTACCCTCACCAATCAGTGCCAGTAGGTCTGGGTTTAAGTCAATCAGTGCATGCTTCCTTTTCACCACCTCAGGGAAATCAACCTATAAAATCATTAAACACTTGCATGATTTTTGTTTTTATTTTTGTAAATAAATTTTTAGTTCCACTAGTCCTGTCATAATGCAACTTTTTCAGCTTTACTGGTGCAGGAACACCTCAGATGGATACCAATTTGTGGATCATTTTAGGCATAAGCCAGGTACCAATGACAGACCTTCTGTAGTGTTGCTAGAAAGCTTCTTCAAATGACACAATGATGGAATTTGAACCTGCTGGTCGGAACCCATAAACCAGACACTTTTTGAACATTTTTCTACACACATCTCATTATTTAAAAGCTAAAGGTATGAAAATTTGATACAGTACAGCTAGGTTCTTCATACTAACAAACTAGCTTGCTTAGTTCTGATTTATGTTGACACTTATATCTGAGGCCTGTCAAGGAGGGTATCAAAATTACCTAAATAGTCCACACTACAGTACCATGTGTCACGGACAGATATGTGATGACGCTGATTTAATTCAGATAAAAGCTTTGGTGTTCCAATTTTCTATTTTTAACATGATATACAATATTTCAGCAGCAAATGTTGAAGTTTTGGATATTCTATTTGTTTACTCTGCAAATGATTCTAGCTAGTATAAGAGCTCAGGTATAGCACCCTTGACATCTAAATTTTCATCCATCAACGTTCTTGAAATAGACATTAAAATATTACCATTTACTTAAGTTGAAATAAATTTAAATACTTAATTATAGAAGAAATATGCATTTATTGTTGATTAAAAAGTGACTGATAGATTGGTAATCACTTAAGAAAAAAACTAAATTAAGCATTTTTGGGGCTGTCCGGGTTTGGTGGTTGTCAGGTTTTTGGTGGTCCCCAACCAGTACAGTGGTGAGGGGTAAGTTTTTTGTTAACAAGTTGGCAACTTTAACCACTTCAGCTACAGATGCTCTGACATAGTTCTCTAACATACCTACTGTAATTAGAATGTCATATCTACATATATATACAAGTAAGTAAATTTTACAAGAGTGACGCTGTGTTATGTTCACTATATGAAAATACGATTAACAAATTCTAACAATAAGCCATTTTAGGCCTATAAGATTTTAAACTAATTTATAAACAAGTACAATTATCAATGCAATAATATCCAAACATAAATTAAAATGAAGATCCTACCCAAAAGACTGGTCTCAGTCTAACAGTCTCCCCAATTTTTATTTAAATTTTGATACCTACACAAGTATTTATAATTACCATAATTATCAGTTTTATAATTATCTTTATCATTTGTGGAGCAATTCAGCTCAAGTAACAACATGATCTAAGCTTATTCAAAACCTACCTCAAAGAACACAGTTTCCTGTAACAATTTCTGAGATTTCAGTCTGAAGTATGCCGAGTCAAAACCTGCTCCAAGTGAAATAATCTGCTTATCTCCATGGTTACATTCTAAGAATTTCTTCAATATGTAGTCTATTGTTTTTGCTCTGATGTAATATCCCCTGTAAACAAATGTAATAGAAATGTCAGTCGTAAAGAAATGCTCGTTTTTTGCAGGAATAAACAGGAGTATCAGAAATCACAACTGATTTCTGGTTACATCAACAATATACCAACTTTACTGGTGGAAGAAGACTTAAGGTGCTACTCTATACTATGTTTTTTTCACGAACTAACCTGCATTTTCTTGGTACTAGGATAATCCACATTCTGTAATACAGGTAAATACCTTCCTTTCATTAAAAGTTAAAACATTTTAAATCATACATGACATTGGGTTTCAGTTGTAGTATAACCAATATGTAAAACTTTAACCAAGAATTTTCTAAGTTCACCATAATGGACTAAATAACACAGTCAGACTCCTTGTCAGATTAATAGCTTTGGATTGTGACGTCCAATAATGGTTATAAAGATTTAACTGAATACCTCATGTAGTTTTACAAGACTAATATTGCATGTAAAACTTTAGCCAAAATAATATTACCATCAAAGTCCTTGCAAGAATTATGGGCCTTAAATAACAACCTCTAATTAAGATCCAGAGAACATGCGCTAAGTTTGAAGTGAACACTTGGAAGACCCTAAGATAAATGTTGCATGAGAAACTTTTACCAGGAATTTTCTAAGTTCACAAAACGGCCATAATTAATAAAAGAAATCCATGTCTTAGTTATAGGCCTTGATATGTATCTCCTAGTATGATCATAAACAAGTATGTGAAGTTGGAAGCCAATATCTTAGTGGTTGAAGATAAGATGTAGTACAAGTGTTCCAACCAGTGTTACACTGAAATAGACACCCAGGTGAACAGAACAGCCCCATTATTTGTTTTTAAAAAGTCGAGCTCAAAAAGGCATGATAACAAATAAAACAATAGCTGTCAGTAGAACAGCAACGTCCGACTATTCCGAGTGCTTGATAGTAAAAGAGCCTTGTTAATGTTAAATTTTCTGAGTAAATAAAAAAAGGACAAATTTGTTTCTTTAAATCCATGTTACAAATATAGGCCTTGGAGAGAGTCCTATTATGCTCTCAAAGAAGAGTATAAAATTTCAACTTATTTCAATAGAATATGAAAATATCTGAGGTGGTATGCAAACCTAAATGTAAATTTCAAGTTGAACAAGAGCACCGCTAGGCGGAGCATTATATGCCCGAAAGTGGTGTTTTTTTTTTAGTAAGGATGAAGCATTTGTAAGACATGGGAATTAGCTGTTCATCCTATAAAATTTCACAGCTGTAGGTTGATTAATACTTAAGTTATTAATAATGACCTTAACGTTTGACCTTGTGACCCCAAAATCAATAGGAGTCTTCTACCTTATATGGACAATCATCCTAAGAAGTTTGAATATTGTGGGCCAATCGGAACTTTAATTATGCTCTAGAAACTGTTTTCAGTATTAAGGTAAAAGTGACTTTGACCTTGTGACCCCAAAATCAATAGGGGTCTTCTACCCAATATGGACAATCATCCAATGAAGTTTGAATATAGTGGGCCAAATGGAACTTATGTTATCCTCCGGAAACTGTTTTGGTTTTAAGGTAATTGTGACCTTGACCTTTGACCTAGTGAAACCAAAATCAATAGGGGTCTTTTGCCCAATATGGACAATCATCCTATGAAGTTTGAATATTGTGGACCAAATGGAACTTAGTTATGCTCTGGAAACTGTTTTCAGTTTTAAGGATATAGTGACCTTGACCTTTTGACCCCAAAATCAATAGGGGTCTTCTACCCAATATGGACAATCATCCTATGAAGTTTAAACATTGTGGGCCAAATGAAACTTAAGTTATGCTCCAGAAACTGTTTTCAGTATCAAGGTAAAAATGACCTTGACCTTGTGATCCCAAAATCAATAGGGGTCTTCTACCCAATATGGACATTCATCCTATGAAGTTTGAACATTGTGGGTCAAATGGAACTTAAGTTATGCTCCGGAAACTGTTTTCAGTATCAAGGTTATAGTGACCTTGACCTTTGACCTTGTGACCCCAAAATCAATAGGGATCTTCTACCCAATATGGACAATCATCCTATGAAGTTTGAACATTGTGGGTTGAATTGAACTTAAGTTATGCTCCTGAAACTGTTTTCAGTTTTAAGGTAAAAGTGACCTTGACCTTTGACCTTGTGACCCCAAAATCATTAGGGGTCTTTTACCCAATATGGACAATCATCTTATGAAGTTTGAACATTGTGGGCCAAATGGAACTCAAGTTATGCTCCAGAAACCAAATTGCTAACGGACGGACGGACAGACAGACAGACACCAGGGGTATAACATTATATGCCCTTTCGGGCATATAAAAAGGGGCATAATTCTGTAAAAGTGCTTGATACAGTTACCTCCTCTTGTCTGCAGGTTGGGGTCATGATGGTGAACAAGTGTGCAAATTTTCAAAGCCATATATCAATGGACTTTGAAAAACATTTGAGGTATTACAAAATTTTAAAGTAAATTCTAAGTTGAAAAAAAGGCATAATTCTGTCAAAGTGCTTGATACAGTTACCTCCTTCTGTCTACAGGTTGGGTCATGATAATGAACAAGTGTGCAAAGTTTCAAAGCCATATGTCAATGGACTTTGAAAATATTTGCGGTATTACAAAAACTTTAACATAAGTGGTTATGCTGACAGCAACGCAGACGCTCAGGTGACTACAATAGCTCTACTTATTCTTATCGAATAGTCGAGCTAAAATTAACAAAGAGAAATATTTTGAACACAGACACTTGGAGTATGGACCCCGCCCTTCTCCACCCCTGAAAATTAAAAACTAAAAGTATTGTTTATTACAAGAATTAGTTTTATGTTTGTGCTTATATTAGTATCTGGCGGGTAAGTGTCTAGCACGTGAACAAGTTTGAATAGAATTTCATAACGTTTTAAAAAAGTCAATTTTTTACCAACGCTTCAATTCTGTGATTTTGAACAGAAAACTCATATTTCACAATTACAACAATTACATTTCAAAAGAAAAACAAACAAATATATACATACCAGGTTTGTTATAGATGACTTCAATAATCAAAGAATTATAAAGTACATTGTATTTCTATTTTAATTTCTATTCAGAAGTTTTACATGTGACTGCTTTGAAAACAAGAAAAAGAATGGTCAATTACTAAGATAATGTTAGTCCCCAGAACCAAATCTATAAATAACTTTTATACCAACCACTCATCCATCAAGAAACTTGCTCTACCAGTTTAATCAACTTTACACAAAGGACAATAGACAATGTACACAGGACACAAGTTACAACAGACTTGGCTTGGCCTCATTGGTTATTATTTGTTTAGGAATACACTCACATTTTCCTATCTTTTTATATACATGCATGTGTAATCTTAATCTTGAGAGAAAAAATAAATAACATCAGTTGGGACAACTGTACCACTTACCTATGTATAAGTGGTGCACGTCTTGTCACTTTGGAAACAAAGCCTTTTAAATAAGGGTCATCAAAATAGCCTTGAAGGGACATGGAACACTTGCTGACTATACTGCTATCATTGGTACCTTGTACCTACAACATAAATTCAAGTTCATAAAAGCACATCCCCCTTCTGGCAACCCCCTGATGTATCTTTTCGTTGGGGGCAGCGCCAAAAAAGTGCTCAATTTTTTAAGCAACATTCTCAAACGAAAACATGTGTTTGGGGCCCAAATAGGACATTTCTTCACTATTTGAGACCTAAAAAAAAATGGGGGGGGGGGGGGGGGGGGGTCGAAAGTGCGTTGTTTCGCGTATATATGAGGTAAAGGGTTAAGACTATTATAGCTTATCTGCCATACTGGTTAAGTATTACAGTGCTTTACTGATGGATTCCAAATTTTTTTTAACAGAAAAATATATTTATACATGCTAATGGTGCATGGGTAAATATTGTGTTTGAAAGTTTTAAATGAAGTCTGACTCTTTTAAATGCTTGTAGTCCATAAGCCAGTCAGATTTAGTGCATGGTGTGATGGCCATTTGTTTATTGGCTGTATAAGGAATTTGATTAAACAATATTTTTCGGATGTGAAAGTTTGGTTATTTTAAGCTTGAGTTTTTCGAAAGAAAATTGCGAGGTATTGATGAAGTTCCCTTTCTTTTTTCCAGTGCCATTCGAAAACATTGGCCTTTTTTTTAGCTCACCTGTCACAAAGTGACAGGGTGAGCTTTTGTGACCACCAAAGGAACATTCCTGTGAAGTTTGGATGAAATTGGCTTAGTGGTTTATGAGGAGATGTCATTTAAAGTAAAAGTTTACGGACGGACGGACAACGGACGGACGCCGGACAAAAAGCTATCACAAAAGCTCAGGCATGCAGATTTTTTCCAGTGAACATTTTCATCTTGTGTTTATATCATCAGTCTGCCAAATAAGGCACATGTCCGATGCCAGAGGCGGTTAAAATCCGTTTCGGGCCTGCAAAAATCCAAAGATCGTAAGCCCGACGGGCGTTTAAGTTCAGAATGTGTTTTCACACAAAATTAGTTTCAGCTTCAATATTTTTCTGAAATTGTTGTGTAATGTGTCATCAGTCTATGTACATCAAGTAAGATTTACGTCATTTGATTATGCATAAGGTATATTTATCATCTTCAGCAATTGGTTAGCAAAATGTATGTACAATGCTCGATAAAATTGTAAATATTTGTTTGTTAAAGAGCAAGTTATCGTAAATGTCCGTTCAAATACAGGGTTCGATATTAACGGGATCCCGGGATTCCGAGGATCCCAAAAAGTCGGGAGGAATCTCTGTGATTCCTAGCTGGGGATTCAGTTGGGATCCCTGAAAAATTGCTGTGTAAAATTTTGAAATTGTCTGAATTCACAAATATTCAAGAAAAGTGTTAATAAAGACTGGCACAACTGCAATGTTCAAGAAAGAAAAGAAAAATCCCGCCGGTAAAATCTACGCTCTTGAATCATGTACGCCAGATTTCCTTTCTATAGAAATCTATAGATATCTTGAATAATTTTATATCATGCATTGACTTCATAATATTAAGTTGTGAAAATTCAAGAAAGAAATATAATAATCTATAATTATTACACGAGCTGTGTGTACTTCAAATATGTGCTGATTGGCGTTGCCGGCGGTAGTTAGCTACAAAGTTAACAAGTGTTTGGTTGTTGTTTTTTTGTGCAAAATTCGGCATTTGAGATCATTGTATTTGTAAATGTTCATAAAAAAGTGAAAAAACAAAAATATTACAGATGTATTTTTTTTTCTCCCTGCAGTACAGCAAAGTATAATTAATAAATAGAATAAAAAGAATCCATACTTTTCAGTTTAAAATCCTTTTTGAAACTCTGCAGCCTAAAATGCTAAAAAATATTGTCTAACTAAAGTCTAAAGTGTTCTAAGGTCAATCAAGGTCACGCATAACTGATAAATAAATTTAAAAATCCTTAGGTGAAACCTACACCAAATGACGTATATTTCATCTGACAGTTCTTTGGGCCAATCAGTGTTCTGAACTACATGACTGATGTATGCAGTGAGTGCCTTTGATGTGGCATATGTCAAAACTAAAAAAAAATCAATACACACAGGGAGGAAAACAATCAGACATTTCAGTGTAAAATTTGAGAACAATAAATTTGGATATTACACATCCTGTCATGGACTTGGAGAAACTTTTTATTTTTAAAAACGAAATCATTTGAAGGTACCCTACTTGTAATGCAAACAAAACTTTTTTCTTGATATTTAAGCTCTAGTAAAAAATCAATTAAATATTTAATTTACAACAATCTATGGGATATTTCCTTTTAAACACAAAAAGTGTGCAGTAAGCTGAAAATCACTTATTTTTTAAAGTGATCATAATTAAATTTTTTTTTTTTTAATAACATGAAAGTAAATATTTTCAAAAAAGAACTTACTGGAAAATGGAGCCTAAATAATTACCTGTAAGTTTATAAAGATCTACAGAATGATGATATGTTGGCTCAATTTCAGGCTATGTGGGAAAATTTTTCCCCAGTTCCTACTTAACTTCAAAAATTCAAACCCTGAGTCCCATTGCCCAGTCACTTGCATTATACCTTCATTTACAGAAATTGGTTCACAATTATCAACCCCAGGGAGAACACAGGTTTTATTTTCAAATCGAACTCTTGTTCAGTGGGTGAGTTTAACGTTATTCTGTTTATGTGCATCATAAAAGAAAATGTTTTATGTTTTAATTTATCTTAACAGTCCAATTATATATATATATACTAGTAATGTAAACACTTAGAAAAACTTTTAAAACTTTAAACAGCAATATTTCCAAAGGTTATGTGTTGACGTGCCATAAAAATCCAAGCAAACAAAAAAAAACAAAGGGCTCATAAACTACATTTTCTGCATCTGAAACAAGGCAATATATCATGTATGTGGTCTTTAAAAAAAGAACTGTAATCAGTTTGCTGCACTCCCTTGTTATTCTTTGCCTTCATATTTTACTATTTTGATCTGAGGAATCCCTGACATTTAGGAGGAATCCCTGAATTTAATCTCAGGGATTCCTATGGGATCCCTTGTGAAAACAGTGTTGAACCCTGAAATACAGTTTTTTTTTAGACTGACCCATATAGATATCTGTCCACTCCTGTAACCAGTACCATACGGTACTAAATTATAATTAGCTTACAGTAACCTCCATTCGGTTTCCGGTGTAAATGTAAAAAAAACAACCAGGTGTAAATGTAAACAAAACAACCACCAAATATAATGTGGGATGGAAGTTTTACAATTTTATTACTTTTTTTCATAGATGCGCGATTTTCACGCACACAATTTTGAATTGTGCGTGATCTGTGAAAAACTAGAGTGAATCGCGCAATCGCGCGTCCTAGAATAGACACTGTGAACCTTGTTGATGTGAATAAAACATAAAATAAACTGTTGTCTTTATTTTGCACAATAATGTTTTGGGCCTGTGATAATCGGTCCGGGCCTATACTTTTGCCTAGGTTGAAGGCCCAAGCCCATCCAAAAAAGTTATTTTGCAGACTGTATTATAAATATGAAGTTTTTTTAAAACAGCTTATTAGAATTTTTTTCAATATATATATATGATTAGTACATATGCTGGGATTGACAAATATACATTCTATTCAGATTTTAAAAGCGTTTTGAGCTCAACAACCAATGAAAGTGTCTGTTATTGCCTACACTGACTACTTCTCAGATAGAGTACATTTTACAGGCCTTAGATTTGTGAACAGCTACATTACATCTACATTACACGTCTGAAGCGAAACCGGGAGTTAAACTCCGTGGTTGTGTTTAATTACAGGATGCGTTCATTGAATGCAATGCTTGCTTTGTTGATACTTTTATCTTTGTTGATACATAATTTGTAAAGTGGCTGACTGATTTACCATGCCACCTAGGATTTCATATTTACGGACAGTGTAAAAGGACCATCCACTATTTAATAGATTCTTTTAAATCTGTCTGGTATGACCCCCCCCCCCCAAAAAAAAACAAAACAATAATAAACAGATAAATAAATCACAACTACAACCGGGATGAACGAATCGTTGTGTTTTTTACTTATACACCGTAAAATTTAAACATGTAAAATAAAGTAATTCACACCGCAGTTTCCCTTCTGGATTTTGATGTTTTCGACCTTTTGTCTTTTTCCATAGCCTCCTTATCCTGACAAGACATGACAGTTCTCTAAACACTGAATTTTACAGTTAAATTAACGTCTCCAAAAACGCATGCAATTAAGCGGTGTTGAAGAAATTTTCTCCGTATAAGAATTAATGCGCATGCGTGGCGGAATCGGAAAGGGCGAAAGTCTATACAGATTTGAAGGTACTCGTCCATACAGATTTGAAAGTCGTAAAATCTGCATGATGTCGTGAAAGTAAATATAGATCTACTGTAAGGAATAAAAGATACGTTTTTCTGAAACTTTTTCATTTTAATGAAAAATAAATTAGGTTTTTATAAGGAATAGTTTGAACAAAAACATAAAAAATGCATTACCGCATGTACTGAAAAAGGTTCATGACCACCAAATTTTACTCTTGATATTTTGTCTATACAGATTTGACTGAACTAATAATGTCTATCCTAATATGTGTCCTGATTTGAAAGATCTTACCAAGTTATGTGTACTAAAAAACATAACTTCACTAATTTTACTATATTTCACCCTATATAATGTGTCTATACAGATTTCACCAGACTTCATTCGGTATGATCTGTCTATACAGATTTCACCAGACTTCATTCGGTATGATCTGTCTATACAGATTTCACCAGACTTCATTCATTATGATCTGTCTATACAGATTTCACCAGATTTTATTCGGTATGATCTGTCTATACAGATTTCACTAGACTTCATTTATTATGAACTGCCTATACAGATTTCACCAGACTTCATTCGGTATGATCTATCTATACAAATTTCACCAGACTTCATTCATTAAAATCTGTCTATACAGATTTCACAAGACTTCATTCAGTATGATCTGTCTATACAGATTTCACCAGACTTCATTCATTATGATCTGTCTATACAGATTTCACCAGATTTCATTCGGTATGATCTGTCTATACAGATTTCACTAGACTCACTAGACTTCATTCATTATGAACTGTCTATACAGATTTCACTAGACTTTATACAGATTTCACTAGATTGCATTCATTATAATCTGTCTATACAGATTTCACTAGACTTCATTCATTATGATCTGTCTATACAGATTTTACCATACTTTATTTATTATAATCTGTCTATACAGATTTCACTACACTTTATTTATTATGAACTGTCTATACAGATTTCACTAGAATTCATTCGGTATGATCTGTCTATACAAATTTCTCTAGACTTCATTCATTATGAACTGTCTATACAGATTTCACTAGACTTCATTCATTATAATCTGTCTATACAGATTTCACTACACTTTATTTATAATGAACTGTCTATACAGATTTCACTAAATTTCATACAGATTTCACTAGACTTCATTCATTATAATCTGTCTATACAGATTTCACTACACTTTATTTATTATGAACTGTCTATACAGATTTCACTAGATTTCATTCGGTATGATCTGTCTATACAGATTTCACTAGATGGCATTCATTATGAACTGTCTATACAGATTTCACTAAATTTCATACAGATTTCACTAGACTTCATTCAGTATGATCTGTCTATACAGATTTCACTAGACTTCATTCATTATAATCTGTCTATGCAGATTTCACTACACTTTATTTATTATGAACTGTCTATACAGATTTCACTAGATTTCATTCGGTATGATCTGTCTATACAGATTTCACCATACTTCATTCGGTATGATCTGTCTATACAGATTTCACTACACTTTATTTATTATGAACTGTCTATACAGATTTCACTAGACTTCATTCATTATTATCTGTCTATACAGATTTCACTACACTTTATTTATTATGAACTGTCTATACAGATTTCACTAGACTTCATTCAGTATGATCTGTCTATACAGATTTCACTAGACTTCATTCGGTATGATCTGTCTATACAGATTTCACTACACTTTATTTATTATGAACTGTCTATACAGATTTCACTAGATTTCATTCGGTATGATCTGTCTATACAGATTTCACCATACTTCATTCGGTATGATCTGTCTATACAGATTTCACTACACTTTATTTATTATGAACTGTCTATACAGATTTCACTAGACTTCATTCATTATTATCTGTCTATACAGATTTCACTACACTTTATTTATTATGAACTGTCTATACAGATTTCACTAGACTTCATTCAGTATGATCTGTCTATACAGATTTCACTACACTTTATTTATTATGAACTGTCTATACAGATTTCACTACACTTTATTTATTATGAACTGTCTATACAGATTTCACTAGATTTCATTCGGTATGATCTGTCTATACAGATTTCACCATACTTCATTCGGTATGATCTGTCTATACAGATTTCACTACATTGCATTCATTATGAACTGTCTATACAGATTTCACAAGACTTCATTCATTATGATCTGTCTATACAGATTTCACCAGATTTCATTCGGTATGATCTGTCTATACAGATTTCACCAGACTTCATTTTTAGCTCGACTATTCGATAAGAATAAGTAGAGCTATTGCAGTCACCCGAGTGTCGGCGTCGGCATAACCACTTATGTTAAAGTTTTTGTAATAGTTCAAATATTTTCAAAGTCCATTGACATATGGCTTTGAAACTTTGCACACTTGTTCACCATCATGACCCCAACCTGTAGACAGGAGGAGGTAACTCTATCAAGCATTTTGACAGAATTATGCCCCTTTTTCGACTTAGAATTTACGTTAAAGTTTTTGTAATAGTGCAAATATTTTCAAAGTCCATAGACATATGGCTTTGAAACTTTGCACACTTGTTCAACATCATGACCCCAACCTGTAGACAGCAGGAGGTAACTCTATTAAGCATTTTGACAGAATTATGCCCCTTTTTCGACTTAGAATTTACGTTAAAGTTTTTGTAATAGTTCAAATATTTTCAAAGTCCATTGACATATGGCTTTGAAACTTTGCACACTTGTTCAACATCATGACCCCAACCTGTAAACAGGAGGAGGTAACTCTATCAAGCATTTTGACAGAATTATGCCCCTTTTTCGACTTAGAATTTACGTTAAAGTTTTTGTAATAGTTCAAATATTTTCAAAGTCCATTGACATATGGCTTTGAAACTTTGCACACTTGTTCACCATCATGACCCCAACCTGTAAACAGGAGGAGGTAACTGTATCAGGCATTTTTTTTACTATCAAGCACTAAGAATAGTCGAGCATGCTGTCCTACCGACAGCTCTTGTTTTATGATCTGTCTATACAGATTTTACCAGACTTCATTCATTATGATCTGTCTTAACAGATTTCACCAGACTTCATTTGTTATGAACTGTCTATACAGATTTCACTAGATTGCATTCATTATAATCTGTCTATACAGATTTCACTAGACTTCATTCATTATGATCTGTCTATACAGATTTCACCAGACTTCATTCATTATGATCTGTCTATACAGATTTCACCAGATTTCATTCGGTATGATCTGTCTATACAGATTTCACTAGACTCACTAGACTTCATTCATTATGAACTGTCTATACAGATTTCACCAGACTTTATTATGATCTGTCTATACAAATTTAACCAGACTTCATTCATTATGATCTGTCTATACAGATTTCAATCAGTATGATCTGTCTTTACAGGTTTCAGATTTCACTGGACATGATGTGTCTATACCAATTTGACTTTATTCTATCTGTATGATGTTCTCATACACATTTTGCTTGACTTTGTTTTGTATGAATCTAAAAATTTACCATTTTCATAAGTAACATTTTTTTTTAAATATTTAATTGTTTAAGATATATAAGGTCATTTCCATAAAAGTACTGGTAGGAGCAAATCATGTTCATCTAAAATTGCAAGAACTTTTTGAAAACTATATTGCTACTACAGACCAAGACAATTATAATTTCTTAGTGTCAACATAAAAGTGGACATTCCCTCTACACCAGTAATAACAGTTGTATATCTAAGTTCACTCCCTGAAAGAGTAAGTCATAGCAGTACCAAACCTTGAGCACAGGAAAGAAAAGACAAAACAACAGCTGTAATATACTTTTATTTTGTACTTTATGGTCTTAAAAGTAACTCATGACACTCATTGATACATGTATTGCTAATAGATGCTCACACAGGACATCAATATATCAAGCGCAAAGCCAAAAATTGAAATTACATTTAATGATATTAATGAGGAAAAAAAAAACAATTGTGAAGCAACACCTGGTCTTTCCACAGAAAAGAACATCATCCAAAAAAGTAATTTAACCTTGTACATTGTAACTTCTCATTGGAAAACGATAAGCAAAAACATTTTGTACTTTCATTAAGCCAAACATCTGTTTCTTCTCCCAGTATGTTTGTGTACATACTACATGACAAGTTAACATATTGATGGCTGAAGCAACACTGGTCTAACTTAAAAAAAAAAGTTCTTCAAAAATTACTTTTTTTACATTTTTAGCCTCATTGCATGAAATACACAAGTGAATAAAATATTATAAATAATTGTGAAATTTTATTGTTTTTATTAATCACTTGGAAAATATTAAATACAAAAACTAAGAATGATAGAGGAAAGAGAAATGTAACAAATTACTGTACTAGGAATATGGGGAAAAATATATTAAAAAACGTCACAAAATTTGAGTACATGTATAACTTGGATGGTGAACAAAGCTATAGATACAAGTGCCATGCCATGTTTAATTATAAAGAGCTGCAAAAGCTTTTCTTTGACAACTTAGAGATATCACCTTACTTTATGCAAAATGTTCTAAAAGTTAATTATACCCCCAAAAACAAAGTTTGGGGGGGTATATAGGAGTCACCCGGTGGTCGGTTGGTCGGGCGGTCGGTCGGTCGGTCCAGACGTCCGTTGCATTTTCCTTGTCCGGAGCATAACTTGAAGACTAATGGTTGGAATTCAATATAACTACATACAATGGTCAAGCACATTGAGAGGAAGTGCAGTGCACAAGAACCATAACTCTATCTTGACTAATTACAGAGTTATTGCCCTTTGTTACTTTTCCTTGTCCGGGGCATAACTTGAAAACTACTGGTTGGAATTAAAAACAACTTCATACAATTGTCAAACACAATAAGGGGAAGTGCAGTGCACAAGAACCATAACTCTATCTAAAGTAATTACAGAGTTATTGCCCTTTGTTACTTTTCCATTGCATTCTTTTGTCCGGACTATAACTTGAAGACTAATTGTTGGAATTCATTATAACTTCATACAATGGTCAAGCACATTGAGAGGAAGTGCAATGCTCAAGAACCATAACTCCATCTTGACTTCTTACAGAGTTACTGCCCTTTGTTACTTTTCCTTGTCCAGAGCATGACGTGAAAACTACTGGTTGGAATTCAAAACAACTTCATACAATGGTCAAGCACAATAAGGGGAAGTGCAGTGCACAAGAACCATAACTCCATCTTGACTATTTACAGAGTTATTGCCCTTTGTTACTTTTCCATTGCTTTTTTTGTCCGGAGCATAACTTGAAGACTAACGGTTGTAATTAAATATAACTTCATACAATGGTCAAGCACATTGAGAGGAAGTGCAGTGCACAAGAACCATAACTCCATCTTCAGTATTTACAGAGTTATTGCCCTTTGTTACTTTTCCTTGTCCAGAGCATAACTTGAAAACTACTGTTTGGAATTCAATACAACTTCATACAGTTGTCAAGGACATTAAAAGGAAGTGCAGTGCACAAGAGCCATAACTCCATTTTGACAAAATACAGAGTTACTGCCCTTTGATACTTTTCCTTGTCCGGAGCATAACTTAAAAGGTACTGGTTGGAATTCAAAACAACTTCATAAAATGGTCAAGCACAATAAGAGGAAGTGCAGTGCACAAGAACTTTAACTCCATCTTCAGTATTTATAGAGTTACTGCCCTTTGTTCCTTTTCCTTGTCTTTCTGGACTTATTACAGAGTAATTCAATAAAACTTCATTAATGGCCAACCACATTGAAAGAAAATGCAACATACAAGAACCACAACTATCTTTAATTGCCCACAACCATAACTCTATATTTCAATTCATTTACAAGGTATTCTGTTACTAGTAACATCCTCATTTCTGAAGCAGTCTTGTGGGGGTATTAATCACATTTAGTGATAGTTCTAGTTAGGATTTTACTTGAAAACCTGACTTGCAATATGTTTTCAGATTATCAATTTATTGATGCTATAAACATTAAATAAAAACATATAATTCTATGAAAGTATTGGATTTAATTTGCAAGCAGCAAAGACTGATATCAACTGACACACAACTGTGCCAGCTAGTTTATAAGGGTATACACTCTTTGCAGCTTGGACAATAAGACCCTTCCAACCATGTTGGCAATTAAGTGTGTGGTTCGATCAACTGGCAACTTATATGATAAATTCAATATGAAAATACAATAATGTCATATCCTCCATGTAAATGCATAACTACTTGAATGTTACTTATGTGTCTGATAATTTTGTGCCGTGGCACAAACGACTAGATTCTCTTTATCTTAATAGGACGCTTCAGGGTAAAAATGTCACTCCATTCAATCGACCCTTTCTTGTTTGTAGTTTGGTTTTCTTTGAATCACCTGTAAAAAATGACAAAAGTTTACTTTACTCTGCATTGAAAGCAACATTTATAACATTGTTTCTACCAAAATTGTGATCACCTAAATAAATACACAAATTTTAAACTTAAATTCGGGCACTAAGTGTTCAATTTTGGTTAAGGCTTTCTTCCAAAGCATGTAGTGCTTTGATATTTTTAGATTTTATGTACAGTTAAACCTGTAAGTAAAGACCACTCATGGGAATGGCAAAATGTGGTATTTATTTACTTGTCAGTTTTTATCACTTAAGGACGTTTTTGGAAGTTTTCATATAGACATATAGGCAAAATTAAAACTGTTCAATAGAATTTCTTTAAACTTGGCATGTAAGATGTTGTTAGAATATGATAACAGAAACATTTTTAGCGAAAAAAAAATTTGGGTCACCGTTCTCGTTTTTGAGTCATCTGCCTTTGAATTGGACTTTTTTGTTAAATTCAAGGGCAGATAATTTACAATGAAGGGAATTAATACATTTTTTTTTCTTATTTTCATCAAGCTTACCTTCATTTTAGTTGATATGCAAAATTTCAAGAACAAATTTAGAGTGGGTAGTTTTTATTCCCACTTCTTCTTTTAACCTGTGCATTTTTTCTTTAAAAAAATGGCCTGTTTTTTAAGGATTTAAAGTACCTTTATTTTCATTGAAAAAAAGTTAATGGAAATGATGTAAAGAATTGCATATTATTATGTATTGTACTCAACAATAAAAAGAAAAGCATAATCCAGAAGTAAAAACAAGAATTCATTTGAGTATGTATAAGTTATCTGCCCTTGAAATGACCTCAAATAAGTAGAAAAGTCTGACAATTCCCTTGAGACGTTTTAGGAAAGCATTTTCAGGGAAGGTTCTGTTGAAATAATAAATTTGTGAAATGCTATTTAGTTTGGTCTTTTAAGTAAAATATGTCTCAAAATTTATTGTCACTGAATAGGGACATCACTGAGGTGGCAGGATGACTGACTAAATTGACTACACATCTAATAATGTTTCTAAGTTCTGACATTCTGAAGTTGGTCGGTAAGATATAATTCAACCTTTAAAATAAGTTTTCAGAAACGTGCAGAGTTTGTGCTATATGTATGAAGTTAATGAAAAATACATACTTAGTTGAATGTTACACGGCTTTGTTTTTGGATTTGTTAAGAAATTGTGTACAGTAGTCTTCAAGCCTCGCTGTAATCACTGTCTGGAAAAACTTGTAAAATTGCACATTGGAGTACCTCTGTGTTGCACTGCTCTACTACGCTTGAATGGAAGAGAAAAATATTGTTTAAACAATTTATTATGGGTAAAGGGTTTGATGCTGCTTCCAACAATAATTCAGTCATATCACGACGGCAGTAAATACTTGCTCTGCTACGAAGTTTACCAGGTATACTAGTAAATGTAAACAGGATTTTAATATAAGTTAATGTCACATATAATAATGCAATACATGGCACAAAAGTAAATATTAAAGGCCAGGATTTAGCCATCCCAACAGTAGAGACTTGTGAAGAATTCCATTGTTCAAATTGAATATTATATTAAAGTCATGAAAATGTGGACTTCTTCATGTTTCCAATGATTTTTTAAAAATATTTCTGACTGTATTGTTATTTAAAAACAATTATGGAATCCTATCAAGTAATATTCATTGATAGACATGACAATATGTATAATATTAATTTAGTATCAAATCTGAAGAATCCATTACATATATAAACATGTGTATACATGTACCTTGTTAGAACCTGAGCTCCTTAATTTCACTGAAGCATTCATACTATCCCTCTGTCCACCTGCAACACATGGGAGATAAATGCTATAATACTTCAATAGTAAGTAAATAATAAATATTTACATTAAAATAAGCAACTGTTTATTTCATATATGAATGAAACAGAGACACTGTTCCCTGGCTTTTAAATCAAGCTAAAAATGATTATGTCACTTAAAATATGGAATTTAAAATTGCATACACAACCCTAACCAAGTCCAGCACTGCTGCAAACATAGACTTGCAAAGGATACAATTCCTCCAGTTATTCAAATAATCTTAAGTTCGAATACATTTAATATGAATACAAACTTTTAGATTTGTCCTCAGGTGTGAGAGGTTCTAGAGGTATGACCTTGTAGACATGGTGTTGGCTTACTTGATGGGTTTGATCTGCATACATCTCTCTGAAAGCAGTACAAATTTATTTACAGATAATTTAAATTTGCATTCTGTAGGCCTACATATGATTGATAAATACAATTATTCACAAAAAGTAATAAAAATATGTGTGAAATGTAATCTATTATAGCTCATATCAGGGCTCATCCGGAAGGGCGATTCAGGCGAAAACTTCGCCGTGTATATTTCCATTTCGCTCTCACAATTGATCAAAGAGAAGTCAACATCGCCGATAAAATCTTAATTCCCAAAGAGTAATATTACTTGGCGATGTAAAGAGCAGAGATTGTACACGCCCATATGACGACTGCTAATTATCATTATCCAATCAGAGCGTCGCTTTATACTAGTACCCTTCTACCTGTATGCAAAGCGATAGACCGCCTACTCTAAACAGTAAATAATGGGAGCATCGGCCCGAAACGGGTATAAAATTATTTTGTGTGACAGTTTTGCGAGTTTAATACGGGATTTGGCGATAATTATAGATTGATTTTTCCCGATCATGTAAACACGTGCAAATCTTCCCTAATTGATATACACGTGGTGTTTAACCCGAGTAAAGGCGATTTTGCAATGGGTTTTTCACGGCTATCACAAAACTGTTAGTCAATTAAAAATAATCAGTTTCGTTAATGATCAGCGACCGGATTAAAAACTTAATCATATTTTGAATGATTTCAGTCCGTTAACATAAATTAAAAAATGTTATGTCGCTCACGTCATGGCTACAGGGCGAGAAGTAAAAGAAAGTTATTGATTCTGACGCAAAAATTTAAGAAAGCCAATTCGCAAAAATCTTACGATTGGTATGATGCAGATGAGAGTGTTTGGCATTGTTATCTTTGTAGAATTGCCAAGTTTGACACAGCTTACGCACGTGGGCACGACATCCAGGAAAAACTACGAATCATGATCGGCATGCTACATATCGATCGTATATCATGTGTACATGTATATAACAACAAAATTTGTCAGGAAAGAAGTGTTCTAATTGTTTCAATATATATATTTGTTTTAATGTCATAAATATGACGCTCAGATTAAGATTTATCAATATTGTAAATTTCAAAAAGCATTATTTATAAAGATATTACGAGTTTAACATTTCATGAAAATAAAGGGAGGTAATTAGAAATTTATTTTCTATAATTTCTCAGTCAAATTTTTCAATAAGAAATGAATGTATATAATTTTAGTGATCAAATATAATGTGCACAAATGTTTGCAGTACATATTTTACATATTCTTCGATGTTTGAAAATTGTTTTATAAGCATAACTATATGCACATAAATATGACATTACAACATGCAAGATCATAATAAGAATTTTCTGTAAACAGAGCAGAATAGGCAGATTTTGTTTGAAACTTTATCTTCTATTAAAAAGTAAAAATATGAAATTAATTTATTCATCAAATTTTTTCTTACACAAAATTATCAATAAATCTACATGAAAATATATAAACAAATATGTAGAGAAAGCTTATAAATAGCTGATAAATAGTTTAATTGTGTTTATATTATAGTTAAGGATGTATAGCCATACATGTTAATGCATACACATTGGGCTGTTTCCCTTCTCCCTATTTTTTGCGAGGAAGTCACTTCTCCCTAAAATTTCCCCCCAGGATGAGCCCTGTCATATGATCTATTAACTATATTGCCTTATGTGGCATCAGAAGGTAACAATCTGTAATGTCCCAAGCAAACATCTTATATGGCACCAGACAGTATTGAACAAGATATAACAATGGTCGTAGGACAGGGGGGACCGTGAGACAGGGCAAACCATACCATGACGGACCATATGTTTGGAAATGGCGGACCATGACTCGAGATGAGGCGGACCGTGATTAATTTCAAATTTAATACTGCTATTTCATTTATTTATTTTTTTATCTTTTGATATCAATATTATCAAAAACAAAAATTTTTTTTAAAAAATAAATTAATATAATTTTATACTAGTACATGTATACAATGTAAACTTAGAGTATTAACATTTACAGTACCCTTGCAATTATAAGTATAAAATAGGTAGCGTAAGATAGTGGGAATGGATTGAAAAAATCTTATAAGTAAAACATATTTTCCTTCTGCACTGAAGTTAATAAACTTGACAAAATTACTTTAATTGTAATATTTTTTTATATAATCCATTCATAACATTTAAGTTGTATAAAGGAAAAATGATTATTTATATTAGTTAATTCCTTAATAACTAAAGGACAACCAAGAATAGTTTATGTACAATGTATATCAATTCGCTAAACAGACAGCATCTTAAAGTTTATGATGTAAACTAACTTGTCAAAGGAATCAAAATTGAAGGAAGTCAATGTCAAAAAAGATAAAATATTCCATCAAGACACTTTCCACCAAAAAAAAAATAAATTCTGGATAGGTGCGCAATTTTGTAATGTCACTCATCATCATTTTATGCTATTGTGTTGTATGTCAGATGTGAATAACAGCCCTTTTCTTTATGTGTTGTTAAATGAAGTTTTACCCTCTTATTATTTATATCTGCTGTCTGTCATATTTAAGAAACAATGACTTGTAATTATATCTCTGTAATTGGTCAATTATCACCTGCATAATGTCCAACTCGATGCGTTATTAATAATTTCATTAAACAAATTTATTATAAATTAATAAACTGCATTAATGTATGTACAGTGCCACTCCAGATACAACGAGATCGTTGGGACTTCGGATGATTCCTTGTTATAACCGAGTCTCATTATAACCGGGACAGAACAAATTGGGGAAATCCGACACTGTCCAGCATCATTAATTTCTACTTTCGTGTGCATCCTTTTTGAAAAGTATATAATGGGAGGTAACTCTTTGCAATCAGAAGTTTTTGTTTTATTTAAATATGCATGTATATAAATATATCTAGCTATCATCGAATTTCAACAAAACATGAAAACACAACCTACGTCTAACCGCGTGTGTTTTTTCATTAATATGTACATTTTAAAATTTGTTTCCAAAACGTTGCATTTCTCACGAACACCGCAAGACATTAACCGCTTCCTTTCTTGTGACAATTTAGCCCGGAGCGCAGACAAAACAAGGCTGACACATTTGATTTCTAATTGCTTGACCCATTATCTCGTCCCACATCAATAATTTCTTCCTTAATTGACCTTTATTATTGGTCATCATGGTTTTTCTCAAGGTGACAAACTGATGCAGACGAAGTGCAAATGAAGTGACCTCCTTAAAATTCTGAAAAATATGCATTGGACAGCGAAATTATGTACGTTGTAACCGATATCTCACTAAAACCGAAACGATCTCATTATAAACGATAAAAAATGAAAGGAAAATAGATGGAAAAAGGCCGGGACACAGTAGAATGTACGTTGTAAGCGGTACCTTGTCCTTGTTAAAACTGTTCTCATTGTTAAGTGGAGTAGACTGTATATGTTTATAATGATATTAAAAGAAAAAAAAGAAAATGAATTGACACTATTTAGATATTTTTATAACATTTAATTCCGAACCGCCTCGTCTTGAGTCAGGGTCCGCCCTGTCCCAAAATATGGTCCACCCCATCCAAACATACGGTCTGCCCTGTCTCACGGTCCGCCCTGTCCATAATTCATAACATTAAAACAATATAACACAAATCCATTTTTTTCCATTTTCATCTTTTCTATATTTTGATATTAAATGAATAACAAGATTAAACAAATGTTTATGTCAAATCAATCATTCAATGCGACTAACACTTTTGTTTCACTCATTCGCAAAAATCATTAGAGAGGGTATCATGTTGCCCTAAGAGGGTATCATGTTGCCCTAAGCCGCTTTTTTTAGTAATATCGGAAAAATGGCGAATTTAGAATAGAGACATCTACGTTAAAAAATCGTTACATTCAATCAAATTTGAGTTCTACAAACCGTTCAAAAGGCTTTTTCTCCCGAAACCAAGTGCCTATGGTTTTAACTGCAAATTGCATATAAGGAACTAAGGCCGTAAGGGAAGTAACTCATACTATCTGAACCCCATCTGCGAATTATGATGAACGTTGATTGTCATAATTATGACAAGTAAGAGATTCAACAATGTTATTTTATCACAAAAGACTGTCTATCATCTATGCGCAACTGATAAAGATGTTAGCTTTAATCTTGTAAAAATAAACCTTTTAACATAACAAAATAACCATACCAAGACTTCTGAAACCCTTTGGTCACATATCCTCGATGATATCTAACACTGTATTCCCTTTCATACTCGTCTAGTTGAAAACATCGGCTGGCGGCCATTTTCCTGATGTTTTGCTGAAAATCGTTCTGTCAGACGGTTTACGGCAGATAAAATTTGTATAGACAAGATGAAATCTGTATAGACTTTCGCTTTTAACAGCGGCGGATCTAATGCAAACCAAATAAGCGTAAGAAAGTCTATACAAAATTACAAGGTTTTTCGTCCATACAAGATTTTGAAAGTTCGTAAAATGTTGCATGATGTCGTGAAAGTAAAATAGATGATACATGTTAAGGAAATACATGTTTTTCTTGAAACTTTTTCATTTTCATGAAAAAATAAAATTAGGTTTTTAAATAAGGGAAGTATTTTGAACCAAAACCAAACAAAAAAATGCATTACTGCCATGGTCCTGCAAAGGTTCCTTGACCACCAAATTTTTACTCTGCTATTTTAGTCTATACAGATTTCACTGGACCACTACTTGATATGATGGTGTCTATACTAATTTGGCACTATATTTCATGCCTATATAAATGTGTCTATATAGATTTCAACAGACTTCATTCGGTATGATCTGTCTATACAGATTTCATCAGACTTCATTCGGTATGATCTGTCTTATAATACAGGTTTCAGTATGATCTGTCTATACAGATTTCAACAGACTTCATTCGGTATGATCTGTCTATACAGATTTCACTAGATTTCATTCAGTATGATCTGTAAAGTGTCTATACAGATTTCATACAGAATGATCTGTCTATACAGATTTCACTAGACTTTATTCAGTATGATCTGTCTATACAGATTTCACTAGACTTTATTCAGTATGATCTGTCTATACAGATTTCAACAGACTTCATTCGGTATGATCTGTCTATACAGATTTCACTAGATTTCATTCAGTATGATCTGTAAAGTGTCTATACAGATTTCATACAGAATGATCTGTCTATACAGATTTCATCAGACTTCATTCGGTATGATCTGTCTATACAGATTTTAACAGACTACGTACACTTGACATGATGTGTCTATAATACCAATTTGACTATATTTCAACCTTTATAATGTGTCTATACAGATTTCACTAGACTTCATTCTGTGATCTGTCTATACAGATTTCACTAGATTTCATTCAGTATGATCTGTCTATACAGATTTCATCAGACTTCATTCGGTATGATCTGTCTATACAGATTTCACTTGAGCACATTGATATGATGTGTCTATACTAATTTGACTATATTTCATCCTATATAATGTGTCCATACAGATTTCAACAGACTTCATTCGGTACGACCTGTCTATACAGATTTCACTAGATTTCATTCAGTATGATCTGTCTATACAGATTTCAACAGACTTCATTCGGTATGATCCGTCTATACAGATTTCACTAGATTTCATTCAGTATGATCTGTCTATACAGATTTCATTCAGTATGATCTGTCTATACAGATTTCAATAGACTACACTTGACATGATGTGTCTATACCAATTTGACTATATTTCAACCTTTATATAATGTGTCTATACAGATTTCACTAGACTTCATGCATTCAGTATGATCTGTCTATACAGATTTCACTAGATTTCATTCAGTATGATCTGTCTATACAGATTTCATCAGACTTCATTCGGTATGATCTGTCTATACAGATTTCACTAGACTTTATTCGGTATGATCTGTCTATACAGATTTCAACAGACTTCATTCGGTATGATCTGTCTATACAGATTTCACTTGAGCACATTGATATGATGTGTCTATACTAATTTGACTATATTTCATCCTATATAATGTGTCTATACAGATTTCAACAGACTTCATTTGGTACGACCTGTCTATACAGATTTCAACAGACTTAATTCGGTATGATCTGTCTATACAGATTTCACTTGAGCACATTGATATGATGTGTCTATACTAATTTGACTATATTTCATCCTATATAATGTGTCTATACAGATTTCAACAGACTTCATTCGGTATGATCTGTCTATACAGATTTTACTAGATTTCATTCAGTATGATCTGTCTATACAGATTTCATCAGACTTCATTCGGTATGATCTGTCTATACAGATTTCACTTGAGCACATTGATATGATGTGTCTATACTAATTTGACTATATTTCATCCTACATAATGTGTCTATACAGATTTCACCAGATTTCATTCATTATGATCAGTCTATACAGATTTCACTAGACTTCATTGGGTATGATCTGTCTATACAGATTTCACTAGACTTCATTGGGTATGATCTGTCTATACAGATTTCACCAGACTTCATTCGGTATGATCTGTCTATACAGATTTCACTAGACTTCATTGGGTATGATCTGTCTATACAGATTTCACTAGTTTTCATTGGGTATGATCTGTCTATACAGATTTCACCAGATTTAATTCGTTATGATCTGTATATACAGATTTCACCAGATTTCATTCATTATAATCTGTCTATACAGATTTCACTAGACTTCATTTGTTATGATCTGTCTATACAGATTTCACCAGATTTAATTTGTTATGATCTGTCTATACAGATTTCACCAGATTTAATTTGTTATGATCTGTCTATACAGATTTCACCAGATTTCATTCATTATGATCTGTCTATACAGATTTCACTAGTTTTCATTGGGTATGATCTGTCTATACAGATTTCACCAGACTTCATTCATTATGATCTGTCTATACAGATTTCACTAGTTTTCATTGGGTATGATCTGTCTATACAGATTTCACCAGATTTAATTCATTATGATCTGTCTATACAGATTTCACTAGTTTTCATTGGGTATGATCTGTCTATACAGATTTCACCAGACTTCATTCAGTATGATCCGTCTATACAGATTTCACCAGACTTCATTCAGTATGATCTGTCTATACAGATTTCACTAGACTTCATTGGGTATGATCTGTCTATACAGATTTCACCAGACTTCATTCATTATGATCTGTCTATACAGATTTCACCAGATTTAATTTGTTATGATCTGTCTATACAGATTTCACTAGACTTCATTCGGTATGATCTGTCTATACAGATTTCACTAGTATTCATTGGGTATGATCTGTCTATACAGATTTCACTAGTATTCATTGGGTATGATCTGTCTATACAGATTTCACTAGACTTCATTTGTTATGATCTGTCTATACAGATTTCACCAGATTTCATTCATTATGATCTGTCTATACAGATTTCACTAGACTTCATTCATTATGATCTGTCTATACAGATTTCACTAGACTTCATTCGGTATGATCTGTCTATACAGATTTCACTAGTATTCATTGGGTATGATCTGTCTATACAGATTTCACCAGACTTCATTCATTATGATCTGTCTATACAGATTTCACCGATTTAATTTGTTATGATCTGTCTATACAGATTTCACCAGACTTCATTCATTATGATCTGTCTATACAGATTTCACCGATTTAATTTGTTATGATCTGTCTATACAGATTTCACCAGATTTAATTTGTTATGATCTGTCTGTACAGATTTCACTAGACTTCATTCGGTATGATCCGTCTATACAGATTTCACTAGTATTCATTGGGTATGATCTGTCTATACAGATTTCACCAGATTTCATTCATTATAATCTGTCTATACAGATTTCACTAGACTTCATTTGTTATGATCTGTCTATACAGATTTCACCAGATTTAATTTGGTATGATCTGTCTATACAGATTTCACCAGATTTAATTTGTTATGATCTGTCTATACAGATTTCACTAGACTTTATTCATTATGATCTGTCTGTACAGATTTCACCAGACTTCATTTTTTTATGATCCGTCTTATTATACAGATTTCACAAGACTTTATTATGATGTGTCTATACAGATTTCAATCAGTATGATCTGTCTTTACAGGTTTCAGATTTCACTGGACATGATGTGTCTATACCAATTTGACTTTATTCTATCTGTATGATGTGCCTATTCACATTTTGCTTGACTTTGTTTGGTATGAATCTAAAAATTTACCATTTTTCATAAGTAACATTTTTTTTGAAATATTTAATTGTGTACAAAGATATATAAGGTCATCTCCATAAAAGTACTGGTAGGAGCAAATCATGTTCATCTAAAATTGCAAGAACTTTTCAAAACTACATTGCTACTACAGACCAAAGACAATTTTAATTTCTTAGTGTCAACATAAAAGTGGACATTCCCTCTACACTATTAATAACAATTGTATATCTAAGTTCACTCCCTGAAAGAGTAAGTCATAGCAGTACCAAACCTTGACCACAGGAAAGAAAAGACAAAACAATTAACAGCTGTAATATAGTTTTATTTTGTACTTCATGGTCTTATAAGTAACTCATGACACTCATTGATACATGTATTGCTAATAGATGCTCACACAGGACATCAATATATCAAGCAAAAAGCCAAAATGGAAATTACATAAAATGATATTAATGAGGAAAAAAACAATTGTGAAGCAACACTGGTCTTTCCAGCAGAAAAGAACATCACCCAAAAAGTAATTTAACCTTGTACATGGTTATTCATTGGAAAACGATAAGCAAAAAACATTTTGTACTTTCATTCAGCCAAACATTCTGTTTCTTCTCCCAGTATTTGTTTGTGTACATACTACATGAACAAGTTAACATATTGATGGCTGAAGCAAACACTGGTCTAACTTAAAAAAAAAGGTTTCTTCAAAAAATTACTTTTTTACATTTTTAGCCTAAATTGCATGAAATACACAAAGTAAATAAAATATTAGAAATAATCGTGAAATTTTATATTGTTTTTATTTACCACTTGAAAATATTAAATACAAAAACTAAGAAATGATAGAGGAAAGAGAAATGTAACAAATTACTGTAATTGGAATATCGGGGAAAAATATATTTAAAAATATGTAAAAAAGAGTGAGTACTTGTATTGTGGAACAAAAGCTATAGATACAAGTGCGGTCATGTCCATGTTTAAGCTTGGATAAAGAGGCTGAAAAACTTTCTTTGACAACTTAGAGAATATCAGCGCGTCTACTTTAATGGCAAAATGTTCTAAAAGTTAATTAGGATTATAGGCTTGAAAACCTGACTTGCAATAAGTTTTTTTCAGAGTTATCAATTTATTGATGCTATGGAAACATTAAATAAAAACCATATAAT